GAAACCAATGTCTTTGGCCGACAATCGCTCCATAAATGCCATTAATTTCAGTCTATTTTTATACGAAATTCGCGTATTTTTTGCACAAATATATGAATACAGTATTGAATGGGATTTATAGGCTGTTGCGTTAACCCGGGCACACATTAGGTTTATGAAAAATGTTATAAAAAATAGCATTATAAATGAAATTGTGAAGGTAAATGATGATAATTTAGTTGATTGTTTATCGAAAATGAGAAAAAGTAATATTTCTAAACCGGGACTAACCATATAATAATAGATAAACATTACGTATTTGATAAATTCATTACTCTTATGGGCTATAATACAAACTGAATTAAATTCAACAATGGTTTCTATAATGCTTTCATTTATAGGAAAACGAGTATATAACCTAATTTTATGATTAATTTCTGTGAATTTATAGTTCAGATACGTTATGATAATGAATGCCCCGATGACTAAAAACTGCACTAAACTAACATACTGTATGATAATTATATTATTAATGAATATCCAAAACATAACATAACATAATTGAAAGTAAGAGTTTGGGTCCAAATAACCCATAATTAATGTTATTGAATACATTGTAAATATAAACAACGTTGTTAGTAAAAATGATTGCACCAAGCAATATTTAGCAAGTGGCGGCACTGGTGTGTCACCAACCAGACCAACCGGTGCAACACCTGTAACCAGCCCTACCACGGGCTCCGGTACCTCATCATACCGGCCCATCGTATCGGCTTCGAGGCATACCTGAGCCAAACACGTGTCGTCCAGTTTAGACTGAATGCACGGCAACAGTGGACTATCATATCGGCCCTCCCTATGATCCCCTTTATACTGACCTCGCATATACTGTCCCAGACTGTACCGGTTAGTTGGCTCCCATGGGGCATGGGATTGGCAGCCATTCCCACGCTGTGGCTATACTGGCAGGTGAGACGCTTATTTCAGGTCCACTACCGGCGCCATTTGCTGTGTTGGACCGATATTGAGATCGACCCCATGTTTGCTGTGCATCGTGGAGATGCCGGTCCTGATGGAGTTACTGGTGCTGCGACGGGTACTGCCCATGATGTCGAGCAATTAGATTGAGGACTGAGATTATGATGGGTTAGGTCGTCATCGCTATAGTCTTCGTAGACTTGTATTTAGAAAAGTATTTATGAATTGAAATAAATATTTTTTTCAATTACTTGCGGTTATTGTCAGGAAAATGAACATTCAATACATTTTGGTTAACATTTTAAACTTTTAACTCAAAATATAGTGTTTGCTCAGTAAATAAGATTAAGATTGCATAAGGGGATTGGTGTTAAAAATATGTCTTGGTAGTAGCCAAAATTAATTAAGATTTAAAAATTTTAGAAATTATATTTTTAATAAAATTCTTTAAACAGTTTTGTAGTGCTAAAATAAAAATATAACCCCGGAAATAAATACATAGGTGCAGATTTAAAAATGGAAATGGATCACAAAACATTTAGAATTAAAAATAAGTGTATGCCATGTCAAAACACTTATCTTGTTCACTATGTCTTAAAAATTTAAGTACACTTTTCAAACCTTAATTAGAGTGACACTAATAATTAGATAACAAATAAAATGTTATCATAAAAGTATGAATCAGTCAACAGTCTAGTCTAGTCTTACTATTTACTATTGTAATAATTTGTTTTAGACCTTGTTCAGAATTTGTTTTTCTTATTGCACCTGGATTAATAGTTTCATTGGCTCTGCAAGTCTTACAATGTCTTAATTTAATGTACTGTAGTCTACTATACTGAATAACAATAATATTTATTTGACCATGTACAGTGCATTTAAAAATTTATAGTTAATCTAGAAAAGTTAAGTCTATACTAAGACTTTATGTTGACATTTCAAGTGGTAACAATATTTTTGAAAATTATTATTTCACCTTAATACAATTTATATCAAACATTACGTTAACTGCATTACATGTATTACGTATTTATAACCTTTTTATTTTGTTATGTAAACATTAAGGACAAAATGTTAAAACTATAACATATTTTAGTACGCTTAAATTAAATAACACTTATTATTAAGTACTGTAGGTTTATAATGACTAATGAGAGTACTTTAAATTATAATTATTAATTAAGGCAATTAACAGTGCAAACAAAGAGCTTATTGCATTATATGTACTATCTCATTTTTAAAAGTACAGATTTATTTAAGTAAGCACATTCTTAGAAGTCGATAATATTTATAATACTTCAACGCTAAGGATCACGTAAAGGTAGCAATCAAGTTTAGTAACTGTAATTAAGTACAAAATAATTATAAAGCAATTATTTTATCTTTAAATAACTTATTAATTAATTTTCTAAAAATATTTATTTTATCAATTTAGAAAGTTATGCTACTAAATATTTTTTCATTACAAATTGCTATTAATTTTTAAATATTTTATTAATGCTGAAATAATATTTAACATTAGAAAATTTAAATTTAATGATAATATAATTTTATGCAATTCAGTTTATATAAGCTAATATATTATAAACTAAGTTTAGAAATGCTTATTAAATTGCTGTAGTTTTTATAAAAATCAAATTAATATATCTAGATAAAATTGTAGTACTTTACGAGCAATTATGCGTTTACATGTACGCTATAAATCAGCACTAATTGATTTAAAGTTCGTATTTATTATCAAATATCTATAAAAATGTACCTGATAATCATTATAAATTTTTGAAAACACTTGAATCCGGCACTGTACTATAGGGGTCAAATTTAGTTTACAAACAATTTCATAATTATCAACTAGGCACATTGAGTGTTCAATTGCACTACTTAAGTAGCATGCATACTGTCTGCGCCAAAGTACTTGAAAAACAAATGACATTGCTAATTTAGACTCAATAATGACCTTGTCCTTTATGAGTAACGTAATATTAACGCGCGATTACTTAATTGTTTGCCTGGCTATCACTAAATATAGCACCCAGGTGTTAATTCTTAGAAGTGTATCCAATCAATGCATTAAAATCTCGACAAAATATGTGATAATTTGTTAATGATTTTGGTATAAATTGATTGCAAAACTCGTTACAAACTTAATAATAATTTTAGTTTTTATTACAAAAGCTTAACAAACTTTTGTATTGAAATTAAAATTAGTTTTACTGTTTTTATACTGACCACGATGCGTTTCTACTTGGTAGCATTGCTCGCGGTGAGCGCTACGTTGTATGGTGAGTACCTCGTTAAATAAATTATAATTTATTTTATAAAGTAATTTTTAAAAATTTTAAACAACACGTCATGACTCAGCCAGTTACATGACCTATATGTTACCTATGCATAATATAAAATTTATGAATACATTAATACAGTTTGTTTAAAAAATTAATAATTTTAGAAAAATGTAATAAAGTTACAGTATAATCGTAAAGTAATTTATAATAGTATAACATAATGAATATAATAGTGTAAAATAATTTATTTTTCACATAGATTCCACAAAATTAATTTATACATTAACTTTAGGCTATATTAATTTCCAAATACTTTAATACAGTTTATAGTTACTAATCAAAAATATATCATATACAGCAGTCTAAATTCAAAATTTACAATTAAACTAGTTAACTAATCAATAAACTAAACATGCTAAAAAACATATTAAACAAAAACTATACATTTCCGTAAACTAGTGGCTGATGCCGGTCTACCAGACGTACTGATCGAGAGGGCCCGGGCTATAATCGCCAAGGCCGAGGCCGACCTTAAGATCATTCATGGCCAGGGCTACCAGCACCTGACCCGCCAGGTTCAGGCCGAGATCGAGAAGGTCCGGCAGCTCGAGATCGAGCTCCAGAAGCTGGAGAAGACCAAGGAGGTCGACCCGGCCAAGGAACTGGAGATCGAGAATCGGCTACTGGCCCACGAGAACACCCTGATCCTCGAGATCCTGAAGGTCCAGCAGATTATCCAGGAGGAGGTACGGGGTAAAACTGCAGAGGCACTTATCGCCCACGCCCAGGGTCTTATAGCGCACGCTGAGGCTGATCTTAAGCGGCACAAGGAGTCCGGTCATGTGGTCGCCGAAATCGAGTCCGAGATACTGGCGCTCCACCGACTGGTCCGAGAGTTGGAGACCCTGGAAAAGGGTAAACACGTGCCCCCGGAACAGGTGTTCCACATCGAGATCCGTATGCTGCACCACGAGAATAGGCTCGAGGTGGAGGTGCTCCGATTGGACCATGAGCACAAGTCGCTGACCCCCAAACTGCCCGACATACTCATCAAGAGAGCTCAGGCTATCATACTGAGGGCCGAGATCGACATCCATCACCACAAGGGAAAGGGACGTCTGACGCACCTGATGGAGGAGGAGGTCAAGAAGGTTAGGCAAACGGAAATGGAGCTGTTGCTGTTGGAGCACGACAAGCACCTGGACACCGAGCTAGCGTACCACGTGGAAATGGCCTTGCTGCAACACGAGTACTTCCTGATCGAGGAGTCCCTGCGTCTGGAGCTCGAGCCCGTCCACAAGCCAGCCGCACGTGTAGGTGACCTCCCGGAGGAGCTCATCAAGCGGGCCCGGGCTATCCTAATCCAGGCCGAGCACGACCTACAGTTCATCCACGGCCAGGGCTACGAGCACCTGACCCGCGAGGTTCGCTCGGAGATCGAAAAGGTTCGCCAATTCGAGAAGGAGCTCCAGAAGCTCGACCAGTCCAAGCATATCGACCCCGAGAAGCAACTGGAGCTGGAGAACCGGCTACTGGCCCACGAAAATACACTGATCCTCGAGATCCTGAAGGTGGAGCAGATTATCCAGGAGGAGGTTCGCGGCAAAACGGCCGAGGCACTTATCGCCCACGCCCAGGGTCTTATAGCCCACGCTGAGGCTGATCTCAAGCGGCACAAGGAGTCCGGACACGTGGTCGAGGCTCTCGAGCACGAGATTAAGGCACTCCACTCGCTGGTCAAGGAGTTGGAGACCCTGGAAAAGGGTAAACACGTGCCCCCGGAACGGGTGTTCCACGTGGAGATCCGTATGCTGTACCACGAGAATAGACTGGAGCTGGAGGTGCTCCGATTGGACCAAGAGCACAAGTCGCTGACCCCCAAACTGCCCGACATACTCATCAAGAGAGCCCAGGCTATCATACTGAGAGCCGAGATCGACATCCATCGCCATAAGGGAAAGGGACGTCTGACTCATCTGATGGAGGAGGAGGTCCATAAGGTCCGGGCGATCGAGATGGAGCTGTTGTTGCTGGAGCACGACAAGCACCTGGACACCAAAAAGGGATTCGAGACGGAAATGGCCTTGCTACAGCACGAGTACTTCCTGATCGAGGAGTCCCTGCGCCTGGAGCTCGAGCCCGTGCCCGCCCCCGGCGGTGCCCGCGTAGCCGGACTACCGGACGTACTCATCCAGAGAGCCCGGGCTATCATCGCCAAAGCGGAACAGGATCTACAGTTCATCCACGGCCAGGGCTACGCGCACCTGACCCGCGAGGTTCAGGCCGAGGTCCAGAAGGTCCGCGAGTTGGAGAAGGAGCTCATCGCCATGGATCAGTCCAAGCACGTCGACCCGGCAAAGGAACTGGAGCTGGAGAACCGGCTACTGGCCCACGAGAACACCCTGATCCTCGAGATCCTGAAGGTCGAGCAGATCATCCAGGAGGAGGTTCGCGGCAAAACCGCCGAAGCGCTTATCGCCGGCGCCCAGGCTATCATCAAACACGCCGAGGCCGACCTCAAGCGGCACAAGGAGGCCGGGCATGTGGTCGAGCAGATCGAGCACGAGATTAAGGCCCTCCACGAGTTGGTCAAGGAGTTGGAGACCCTGGAGAAGGGCAAACACGTGCCCCCGGAAAAGGTGTTCGAGGTGGAGATCCGTATGCTCACGCACGCCAATCACTTGTCGATGGAGGTGCTCGTGCTGGACCACCAGCACAAGGAGTTGTCGCCACGATTGCCCGAGGCACTTATCCAAACAGCCCGAGCTATTATACTGAGAGCCGAGATCGACATCCACCGGCATAAGGGTAGGGGAAAGTTGGTGCACGTGATGGAGGCCGAGGTGTCGCACGTGCGGGCCCTGGAAGTGGAGCTTTTGTTGCTCGAGAAGGGCAAACACGTGGACACCCAGAAGGGTTTCGAGATTGAATTGGCCTTGCTGCAACACGAGTACAACTTGCTGGAGGAGTCCCTGCGACTGGAACTGGACCCCAGCGTCATAGTGGAGAAATCCGCGGCACCCGAGCCCACCCTCCCGGAGGTGCTTATCAAGAGGGCCCGAGAG